CTAGAAGGCCTGACAACCAAGTGATTTCTGCTCTCAACTGCTTATTTGGCTCACAGGATGCTTATGACATAAACCAGCTGCGCCACCCAGTGGAACCAAGGGCCACCAGCCGCTCTCTGGGCAGGCCACCCCTGCGCCGGGATGCACCCTTCAGCTATGTGCCACAGCCACATCGAGCGCTTCCCACCAGCCCATCTGACATTGCCAACTTCATCAGTGATGTAGGTGCCCTGGGGTTGATTACAGAATGGGCACATGTATGCCTGTATGCATACATGGGCACAAACACACCCATGTCCAGACCTTGCTTCCAGTCCTCATGCTACAGGATATCAGGGGGTAAGCTCACCAGCAGGAGCCTTAGGGGAACACCAGAGGGTGAGTGAACAGGTTGGCCAGGCCCTTTTCAAACACTGTGGGTTGGAGTGGACCATAAGCAGCTACCTGGCCACAGAAGGCCAGGCAGCACGGGTCTTCACAGTTGTTTTCTGTCCCTCTGTGACGCATGCCCTTGCATGTTTCTGAGTTCTTTCTTTGTGTTTACTATGATGATGTGTGGGCAGCACATGCACTGGACAAAGCATCAGTTTGAACAGTGCATGAATGATTACTTTCTACACAAAAGATGATCAGAATGTGGGGTGGATGGCTAGGTTGGGTCATGCAGGGAATGTCCTATTAACAGCTGGCCCACATAGCCCAGAGAAGGTTCTCATCAAATCAGGGTATCCTTGGAAGTGCTAAGCCTAGTGCAGGTACTGGTTACAAGAAGGCAGGGTGGCAGGGGATACTGCCTCTGGAGGAGGCCAGGTACTTATGGAAGGGTTCCTGAGAGGTGGGGGCAGGGATGGAGGAGCACCCGTGACAATGAGACACCTTCTCTCCACGCTGATGGGAAAAGGCTGGAGGTAGCAGAACCTTCTTCGCTAGCCCATTATGTACTAGGAGATGTTCTGCACCCCATTCCTCTTAAGAGATGTTCCCCTATGGTGCTATGCCCAAGGCAAACTTAGCCTTGGCTGAGCAAAGAAGGCTCCTGGCTTGTCTCTGAGTGGTCCTGAGGTCTATGGGACTTTTCAACAGGGCTTGGAGGCTGCAGACAGTGACCCCAGCGTGCCTCCCTACGACACAGCTCTCATCTATGACTACGAGGGAGATGGCTCTGTGGCAGGGACACTGAGCTCCATCCTGTCCAGCCTGGGAGATGAGGACCAGGACTATGACTACCTTCGGGACTGGGGCCCCCGCTTTGCCCGGCTGGCAGACATGTATGGGCATCAATGAGAAGCAGAGCCAGGCGCAGATGTGCTGTCTGGACATGGCCACTTGGCCCAGCCAAAGGGGCTTTCTCCTGGGGATACACATTCAGGAATACTATGAGGCTCAACAGGACATCCCATCCTTGGCTCCATGACAGATAATCTCACTGAGGCTGTCTCTGTGAGCTTCAGGGGAGGACTGAGTCGGGGGGTGGTGGTAGGAGAACCTGGATCACGGAGTGGACAGCCAGAGGGAACACTCTCTTGCTGGGGTGGGGTAACCAGCTTCAGCTGTCCTGCTAGGGATGCACATCCCATTTCTGTCTCCCATTTATGACTCTCCTCTGTATAAAAGCAGAAGTCCAAGGAGTGGGTTGTAATTAAAAACACTATTCGGTGATCATAGATGACCAGTGCTACTCTCACCACAGAGCGTGCAGTGTCCCTTGCCTCAAGCCTAGCCTCGGAAGGGACCTCGGGCTTTCTCAGCACAGTTGGTCGGAGTGGAGGGCAGTAGGCACAGGACGCTGAGTTCAGAGTGAGTGTATATGTGTAGACACATGGGGGGGCAGAGGGGCATGAGCAAGGTACCCTTCAACCCCCAGATTCCAACAAAAAGAAGATGAGTTCCACAGCTGTCCTTATCCTACTGGGTCTGGCCATGGTGGAGACCAAGCACTGCTCACTTTCCCTGGGGTGTGTGTGTGTGTGTGTGTGTGTGTGTGTGTGTGTGTGTGTGTGTGTGTGTGTGTGTGTGAGAGAGAGAGTGATGTCTTCCCTGTTGTTAGTTACTCCTGCTCTAGGCATTTGAAGTACTCAGCCATGTCCTTTGTCCGAGTTTATAGGGGCTGCTGGGTGGGATTGTGCTACTGGGAATGTGGCCAGATAGGGGAGTGATGGAAGAAGTGGGTGTCCTTCAGCAACTGGGGTGGGCCCTAGCTGTGACTCTGCAGCCGCAGGAGGATTCAGTGAAGGAGGATAGCCAGGGAAGCAAAGACCATGTGTTTTTGTGAGAGGTATCCCCTTGGGAAAGGGCACTAGAGTACAGCTGGTGGGTTAGATGACACACTACAATCTGAATGTCACTGGGTAATCCCAGGGACAGGACCTCAACAGACCCCACAGCAGTATTGAAGGAAAACAAGTGAAAAAATTGGGGTACGTGTACCTCCTGTCCTAGAAAACATTCTGCTCTTTTCACCAGAGCCCTGCCATCCGTGGGCCTCCCGTACACCGTCAGTCTCCTGTGCTGCTTTCCTGGGTCCCAAGCCTTCTGTCCAGGTGTTCCTGAGGGCTGTCTCTGCTCACACAGCAGGGCAGTGCTGATGACCAGTTGGGGGGGGGGAGGAACGGAAGAACCACAGACTTTGAGTGAGGGAAGGGACAGTATCCTGCTTGCTCCAGACTGCTAGGCAGTCTGTGACGACTCTTTAGCCACAAGAGGTCACTGAGCATAGATACAGACTGGAAAGCCAGGAGCTGGGCAGTGTGGTCCAGCCCAGCATGCCTAGGAACAAAGGAGATTCCAGACTCTTGCCAAACATTTCACCCTGGTTATTCAGAGCCCTCTCACCCTGGGGTAGTCACCCCTATCTGGGTACATTCCTTCCAAGCCCCCACCATTTCCATGTGAGTCTAGCATGAGGATACTCTGTAGCCTGATGCCAGCTCAGTATAGACTCTAGAGTGCTTCCTATCTCAAGCTATGACAATATCCATTTCTCACTGTGCTCCACTGATTTCCCTTGTGCCATTCTACAGCAAGTCCCACCCCTATGAAAAGATGCAGCTTCTGTCTACTCCAGTCTCTGCTAACCTCTGACCCTTCATCTCTGCACTACACCTGTGCCTAGGAGCAAGCATTCTAGGCCTAAACTAGATCCTTATATTCAACACTGTCACAGAAGACCCTCTGGACCCTCAACTCTCTGGGCCTCAGTTTACATGTGTTAGTTACTGTGCAAATTACTGTGAGGAGACACATGACCAAGGAAGCTTATTAAAAAAAAACCAAATAAGCAAACGTGTCTTAATTGGGTGCTTTCTTGGCTGGGTAGTAGTGGCACACACCTTTAATCTCAGCCCTTGGGAAGCAGAGGCAAGCAGATCTCTGTGAGTTTGAGACCAGCCTGGTCTACAGAGCTAATTCTAGGATAGCCAGGATTACACAGAGAAACCCCATCTTGAAGGAAAACAAAACAAAAAACCCTCAAAGCCCACCCCACTGACACACCTTCAACAAAGTCAGACCTCTTTTTTTATTTTGTTTTTTTTTTTTTTTTTGGAGACAGGGTTTCTCTGTGGCTTTGGAGGTTATCCTGGAACTAACTCTTGGAGACTAGGGTAGTCTCGAACTCCTCTGCCTCCTGAGTACTGGGATTAAAGGCGTGCACCACCAACGCCCAACTAAAGCCACACCTCTTAATCCTTTCTAAATAACCCACCATCTGGGCATCAAACATAATGAGCTATGGCGGTCACCCGCATTCAAACCAGCGCATTCCCAGCAGTATATAAATTGTATGTGGGAGTGTTTGCTTGTTTTTCGAGACAGGGTTTCTCTGTGTAACAGTTCTGGTTGTCCTGGAACTCTCTGTAGACCAGGCTGGCCTCGAACTCACAGGTGCTGGGATTACAGGCGTGCTCCACCACCACTTGGGTCTGTTTTTTAAAACTTGTGTGCTATAGTTTTGGTTGTGAGCCTAGCCTTTAAAGGCTGAGCCATCTCTCCAGGCTGATACTTATATACTATTTCAAGAGCAACCCCAGAAGCCAGATGGGGCTGGACTCAGAGCTTTTCTGTTCTGAATGCCAAGGCCCTTGAGCTGGGTTTTCTGTCTCTCTGGGGGTCACTGCTTCTTCCAGCCTAAAATACTGTTTGGGTAATGTTAGGCCAGTGTTTACTCCAATGCCATCATTTGTGAAGGCAGACAGTGCATGAATGATTCTGTACAGAAGGGTAGGGCCAACTAGGGGCAGGTTTCAGCACCCTCTGTCAGGTCTTAGAGATGTGGCCACTTCCCAATTTCCACTTACCCAAGGGAAGGGCATGGCTGAGAGATCAAGCCTGCAAAGGGGACAATAGGTGGTGATGCAGGTAGGTATTAGCCCAAGGGTAGGAAGGAATGAGGGTGGCTTGAAAGGCCAAGCTATCTCTTCCCATTCTCTCACCCGGACCACTGAGCCTGTCTCTGGAACACTGCTTACAGCCCAGGGCCTGTATAACCTCATGGACAAGAGCCTTCTGGTTTGCCCCTTCACCTGAACTGACCAGGTCATTCCATCAGTCAAAGCCATCTCCCGTCATGGAATTCTAGTTTTAGCAGCACCAGCCCAAAATACAGATTGTCCAAAAACTGCACACAGTATGGCGTCCAGTGCCTTACTAATCTCACCTACCTGCTGTCAACACGTGGTTTAAATCTTCCTTTCCAGGCCCACCAACCTGCCATCCCTAGGCCTGATGGGAGAGCCAGTCTGTCACTGAGTACCCAGGGGCAGCATGAACAAAAGAGGGCCCCATGAGAAGCCTAGCATGACACCCCAGCAGACAGAGGGCTGAGATCCAGAGGGACTATGGGGAAGATAGCAGGCCGGCTGACTGTTCTAGGACAGGTGTCCTGGGTTGATCAAGTTGTGCAACAGGGCAGGGTGGCACCGGGGGGGGAAGGCAACAGAGGCTCAGCTTTCCGCCAGTCCCAGAGCGATCATCAGAAGCTCCACAAGGCTGAAGCCAGAAGAGTCAACTCGCAAAAGATGTCAAATTCCTGCGCACAATGCCTAACAGTGGGCGGGCCCCACAAAGAGTAAACCTGTTGAGGGTGGGGCTAGTATCCAGGAAGCTCAGAGGTCACAAAGGGCGGGGCCCGTCCTGGCGAACATATCCAGGTGTCTGCGGGTTAAACTCCCTCGTGATCCTTGCTGGGCTTGAGTCTAGATGTGACTGCCAGGCCAGAACGTCTTGCCAAGGAGATCCAGCAGCTGAGCACGTGCGGCTCTGGGTAGACGGTACTGTCCTGCAGGTCTTGAGGTCTTCAGGCCTCTGACGCTGCTGGCAGCGTCACTGTGCTGGGGCGGCGCCAGGTTTGCTCTGCGTGGTACACACTGGCAGGTAGGTGGCTTCAGTCTTAAGCTCCTGCTCTTCGCTTGCAGCACTTCCGAGGTTAGCATTCTATGAGTTTCCCATTGACGTGTTATTTTTGCGCTACGGATGGGCTTTGCGTTTTCATAAACATATTTGACAACTTTGTATCAAAAATTTATTTTTTGTTTAGCCCTTGCTGTCTTGGAACTCACTGTGCAGACCAGACTGACCTCAAACTCAGAGATCCGCCTGCCTCTGCTTCCCGAGTGCTGGGATCAAAGGCATGGGCCACCGCCTCACGGCCTTTAATTTTGAAGTAGGATCACAACTCTAAGCTGTAGCTCAGTGCTGGGAGGCTTTGCCTAATGTGAGTTATAACCTAACCCTAGATCCCCAGCCTTTTGACAAAGGAAAAAACGAGGGTGTACATTCGCAATGGATACGACTGTTATAAAAGTCCAACATAAACCTTGTCCCAGGTAGCTTCAATACCTGCCTCCTTGCGCCAGCAACCAGCTGTTTCTGATTTGGATGCTCCAAACAAGGGACTCTTAGATTTTTCAGGGCTTGTGCATTAGGAGTCTTTTACATAAAAACTACGTCAACTTCGCTTTAACGCTGTTAGCACGGCATGTCTGTAGGACTGAGCAATGTTCATGGTCTCCTGCGGGTGGACATTTGGGTCGTTCCCACCTAGTAGGTTGTAACCAGCTGTGATGGTTAGTGCTAATTATCAACTTGAGAACCTAGAATCACCAGGAAGGCTAACCTCTGAATAAGCCTGTGGGAGATTATCTTGATTATGTTAAGCGAGGTGGAAAGCTCCCATTGGGAGTGGCACTATTCTCCAGGCAGGGGATCCTAGACTGCATTAAGAGTGGAGGAAGTCTGCATGTAGCATTTATCCATTGCTCATTGCTGTCTTGGATGTATTGCTTCAAGTTCATTCCTGTCACTGTGATGTCCCTGCCATCATAACCTGGAAGCTAGAACTGTGGACCAAAAAAGCACACTTTCCCTTAAGTTGCTCTTACCAGTCTATGTTACTACAACAGAAAAACCTAAGAAACCCCCAGGCGGTGGTGGCACACGCCCTTAATCCCCAGCACTTGGGAGGCAGACTGATCTCTGTGAGTTCAAGGCCAGCCTGGTCTACAGAGTCCAGGACAGTCAGTATTGTTTCACAGAGAAACCCTGTCTTGAAAAATAAAGAAAGGAGGTGGGGAAAGGGAGAGAGGAGAAGAGAGCGAGCAGAAAGAGGAGAGAGAGAAAGACCTAAGAAACCAGCTTTGCCATGAACCTCTGAGTACAGGTATTTGAGGCAGTGGTTTCCATTTATTCTGGGTATCATCTGAGTAGCTGCTGCAAATATGCGATTGTGTTCAGGTCTTTATGAAACATTTTCCTTTTGGTGGGAGCAGAATCTCTGTAGCCCAGGCTGCCCTGTGGAGTCAAGGATAACCTTGACCTTCTGATCCCTCTGCTTTCATCCACAACCCCCAAGATAGTGCTGGGATTTCAGGTGTGTATTACCACACCCTGTTTGTGCACACTGGTTCTACCGACTGAACTATATTCCCAGTCCCCCCCCTCTTTTTTTTTGAGTAACTTTGGTCTCTTTAAACTGATGACTTTTTTGGGGGGGTTTCGAGACAAGGTTTCTCTGTATTGTTTTGGAGGCTATCCTGGAACTAGCTCTGTAGACCAGGCTGGCCTCGAACTCACAGAGATCCACCTGTCTCTGCCTCCCGAGTGCTGGGATTAAAGGCGTGTGCCACCAACGCCCAGCTTTAAACTGATGACTAAGTATGTGTTCCATAAAACTATCATTTTAAACTAGCTTTTCTGTGTCACTTGTTGAATTTATCTACTTTGTATGGGAAGGTATGTGCGTGTGCCTCGGCACAGATGTAGGGGTCAGAGGGCAACTTGCAGGAATTGGCTATGTCCTTCTAAGATAGTGAGTTCCGAGGAATTAAATTCAGATCTTTGGGCTTGGTCGCAAGCACCTATACTGGCTGAGCTGTCTTCCATCTAGTTCTTGTTTGTGTCCTGTCTCCGTCTCTCCGCCTCTCTCTCTCCGCCTCTCTCTCTCCGCCTCTCTCTCTCCGCCTCTCCGCCTCTGTCTCTCTCTGTCTCTGTCTGTCTCTGTCTCTCTGTCTCTTTGTCTCTCTATGTGTGTCTGTCTCTGTCTCTGTCTCTGTCTCTCTCTCTGTAGCCCTGACTATGCCCACCTTCTTTCTTGATTCCTATGGACTCCCTCTCTTGCCCCTCTCTGAATTTGTCCCATCTTTGTTACCTTGAGTTTTCTGATGGAAAGAGTCATTTGGAGACTTCTAGCTCAACACATTCCAGTCCTTGTCTTTGAATGGAGAGTTTAATCTTCTTAGTTACTGCTAAGAAAGGATTTCTGTCATTATGCTATTTTCTGTACAGTATGTTTTGTTGTTTCATTTCCTGAATTAGTCTTTTTGCTACACATTTTTTGTCATCAAACAAGAAACATTTGCATTCTTTTTTCATTTCTTTCTGTGTACAACCTATCACACTCTTCTTTAAGGTTACCATGAAGAGCCAGGCGGTGGTGGCGCACACCTTTAATCCCAGCACTCGGGAGGCAGAGGCAGGCGGATCTCTGTGAGTTCGAGGCCAGCCTGGTCTACAAAGTGAGTTCCAGGACAGCCTCCAAAGCTACAGATAAACCCTGTCTCGAAAAACCAAAAAAAAAAAAAGGTTACCATGAAGATTGTTTTCTTTCCTTTTTTCTTTGAGACAGTGTCTGTTCACATGATGCCAGGCTGGCATCTAACAGATCCTCCGCTTCTTGAGTGCTGGGATTACAGGTGTGTCTGTGTGGGGGCTGGAGTTTAGGGTTAATTAAAATAAAACACTCTAATTTGGATATAAACCAGTTGGACTTCACTAACATGGAAACTTCTGCTCCAAAGAGCTTCTTCCCCATCTGTTTTAGTTACTGAGATCACAAAATTATATCTTTATCCATTGTGTGCTCCCAAATATAAATCAACTAAGTGCATTAGTCTCTTGAGTTATGTAGGAAACAAAATTTGGAGTAACAAAATAAGTTACATTGTGACTAGCTTTAAATGAATACTTGTTTTTGTTTTGAAAAGTATTATTTTCCTAAATCGCGAGAGTAACATAACATGGGACCACCAGCCTTCTCTTGAGCCTTGCAAGCTATAGGTAGATGGGGAACCCCTCAGATTCAGTTGTCTACTTGGGGAAATGGATTCTTGGAGTCTTCCACTCTGCCATTTCCAAGAACCCCTCTTCCTTTATTTAGGTGGTTACCATGATGGACTTGGTATCTGTCTCCAGCTTATCAGTTTGCTCAAGGATTGGACCATGGTGCTGTAGCTACAAGTCATTGTCAAATCCAGGGTCAGGTCATCTGTAGGTTATCCTGGGTTATCATCTGTGCGATATGTTTTGGTTTATTTATAAATTTTATTTTACTAGTTTTTCAAGGTTTTTTTTAAAAACATTCCTTTTAGATTTTATGGGCATGAATGTTTGCCTGCATGTATGTCTATGTACCATACAAGTGCCTGGTATCCAGGGAGGTCTGAAAAATTCATTAGATCCCCTGGCTGCACACACCTTTAGTCCCAGCACTCAGGAGGCAGAGGCAGGTGGATCTCTGTGAGTTCAAGGCCATCCTGGTCTAACAGAGCAAGTTCTAGGACAGTCAGGGCCACACAGGAAGGAAGGAAGGAAGGAAGGGAGGGAGGGAGGGAGGGAGGGAGGGAGGGAGGGAGGAGGGAGGGAGGGAGGGAGGGAGGGAGGGAGGGAGGGAGGGAGGGAGGGAGGGAGGGAGGGAAAGAAAGAAGGAAAGAGAATGAAAGAAAGAAGGAAGGAAGGAAGGAAAAGAAAGAGAGAGAAAGAAAGAAAAGCCAGGCCGTTGGTGGTGCACACCTTTAGTTCCAGTGCTGGGGAGGTAGAAGCAAGCTAATATGAGTTCAAGACCATCCTGGTCTACAGAGTGAGTGAGGTCTAGGACAACCAGGGCTACACAGAAACATCCTGTCTTGAAAAAAACAAACAAAAAACTCAGCTCATAATTTATTGTTTTATATTTATATCTGTGACATTGAGTTCATTTTTAGGATAGATGTGTCTATATTATTCATTTTCCCAGGTTTTTTGAAAAGACCGTCTTCTCCATTGACCTGCCTTAGATCTTTTGGCAAAGATCGGCTGCCTATATTTATGTGGGTCTATTTCTGTGCTATGAATTCTATTTTACAGATCCTATTTGTCTATTCTCTCACCAACACCAAGATGTCTAGATGATTACATGTTAATCTTCTGACTTTGTTCTTTAAAACTGTGTTGGCTACTTTTGGTTTTTCATTTCTCTATAGTGTGTGTGTGTGTGTGTGTATATGTATGTGTGTGGGGGTACTCATTGTATAGCTCTCGCTGGCCTGGAACTATGCAGACCAGACTGGCCTTGAACTACAAAAATCCATTTTCCTCTGCCTATAGGATTAAGCCTTATCAATTGGTTTTTTGGGGGGTAGGCGACAGTTTCATGTAGACTGAGATGGCCTTGACCTTGACTCCTGTCTCTACTTCCTGTGTGCTGGGATTATGCAGGTGAGTACCGCCATACCTGGCTTTGTGTGGTGCTGGGGACCAAACCCAGAGCTTCATGCATGCCAGGCAAATTCTGTCAACTGAGCCATACCCCCATAATCAATTTCAAAATTTCAGAATCTTGATCTTCACATCAGATTGGAAAGATGACATAGTGACAATATTGGATTTGACTCTCTCCTTCTTACCTCTCCACATATTTACTTCTGATTTATTTATTGGTTGACTGAATTTTTTGAGACAGATCCTCACTTTGTAACCCAGTCTGGCATTGAGCTTTGGTTTCTCATCTCTTGCCTCTGTCATGTTTTGCTTTATTTTGTGTATATGGATTCTTTTGCCTGCATGTGTGTCTGGGTAGTGTATGCATGCCTGGTGCCTAAGGAAGGGGGTGTCAAATCACC